GAGGCCGTGGGGTCCCCGCGAGGGACCGCGCAGAGTCCCGAGGCGGCGGCGCCCCGTTCCATCCCAGCCCGTGGGCCCCGCTGTCCCGCGTGGGGGGCGCAAGGGTCCGGCTGGATGCTCCCATCACGTCCCTAGCCCGGCTGGGCGCAGTTTGACCCCGAGCTCTTCTGTGGGGCCCTAAATCTATAGGGAGCAGGACCTGGGGACAAATCCTGCCCGGCTGGGGGAGGACAGGCCCCAAAGCAGCCTGGGGGAGAATCCGGGCTCCCCTCTTTGCCGTGAGCCTCCTGGCCTGCCCTGCACCAGCTCCCTCTCTGCCCCATCCCAGTCTGTGAGCCACTTCCCAGCCAGTAGCGCCCCCCGACCCAAGTCCAATTTCTCTCACACTGGGACCCAGCAGGAGCTGGGGGAATCTGCTCCCAAAATGCACCTGCAGATCCCTGGGGCCTGTTCACATCTCTGGGCTTTTGTCACCTCTTGCATGTTATGAGCTTGGGGATCTCAGCCTAACCCTTGGCAATGCTTAATCCAGCCCCAGCTCAGGACGGAGCTGGACAGGGCCAGGAAAGGGCCATGGGCTTCTACCCCAGATTAGGATGCACCTTTGCCTATACAGAGGGCTCACTGAGAGGCAATGTCACAGCACCCTGACAAAGTTCCTCAAAGTCTGAGTCCCACATACTGTGTTCCCAGCAGGGCACAGCCTGAACACTGAGCAAGGTGCTGTGGAAAACTCCCAAAGGTGGTTGGAGAGGCAGTGGGAGAGCCCAGCGCTCTTGTGCCAGCGCAAGGATCACCGAGTGCAGCAGTCAGCTGGCCCATGGGCCATGTCTCATGCCCGCTGTGCCATGTGGCACTGAATTCAAGGTCTCGACCACACAGAGTTCCTGACTCTGGTCAAGCAGAGGTGACAGGTAAACAGAGTGGGCTGTCTGGGAAAAAGTACCCACTGGGGATGATGCAACCATAATGCAAGGGGCAAAGTCCTCAGCTGGCTGGGCCTGCTGGCAGCTCCCAGAATAGCCCAGGAATGTCAATAGGGAGGAAAGAATGGGCACAACCTGGCCCGGAGCACAGCTCCCACGGGGCCGGTGAGCTCTGGCTGCAGGCAGCACACAGCCAGAGCAGCCAGCGCACAGCCCATGCAGCCTCCCATCCCACTATGGGGAGCCTGAGGCTCCCCCATTCTTCAGGAATGCGTCAGGAATAGCAACACTCAACAGCGCAGCAGCGTGATCAACCAATGCAGGACAAGGGCAGGAGGAATCCCACCCCTGCACATGAGCCCACTTCAGCGGCAGAGCGGGTGCACCACTCATCTTCACATGCAAAACACATGTATGTCAGCAAGAACCACCTGCCCATGTCAGGGAGCATGTATATACCCAGGAACGTGTGTGCATGTGTCCTCTGCAGCACACACACACTTCTGCAGATGCTCGGTGCTATTCACCTGCTCCGGGCAGGTTAAATTCCCCACAAGGTGGGAGAGCTCCTTCCTTTACCCCGTGGAGGGGGCCAGGTCCCTGTGTCTGACATTGTTTCCAGGTGCAGGAGGCTGGGGGGATCCTGAGCTGGCACGCGGTCCAGCACCGGCCTGGTGACAGCAGCAAGGAACCGGGGGCCTGTGTGAGTCTCAGTGTCAGTTCCACCTCTCAGCGACTGTGCTGTACCCTGCACACAGGAAAGAGAAACAGGCACATCACCTTGCTGGATTCCTCCTTCCTGCTAGCTCTGAAGAGCCAGGGCTGGGGCACAGCATGACAGGGTTTGGGGCAAAGAGGGAGAATGATGCACTGCTCATCTCTCCTTTCCAGGTAGAGGAGCAACATCTCCCCAAAGGGATTAAACCGGGATCTGCCAGGACTGCTGAGAATCAACCAGCATCACACAGGGCCCAGCCCCCAGCCCCCCCCCAGCCGAACCCACCTGCCCCCCATGTCTGGCAGGGATCTAGGCCAGGGGTCAGTGCAGAGCTGTGAGTGGTTCTTGCACCCATTGCGTAACTTGTTGTTGATTAAGCAGTTCCCAGAAAGCAAAGCCCAGGGACCATGCTGACCAAAATACCCCCTGGGTCCCCCTGAGGCCCAGCACTCGCTGCACTCATGGCTTTTGGGTCTCCGACCTTGTGTCCGGTGGGGCAGGGGTGGCACCCGATGACCCAATCCCGCAATGCTGAAGGCCTGGGGTAGGCAGGGACCCCTCGAGGATCATTCCCCAGCATCCGCGCGCGGTGCCGGCGCCAGGGCCGGTGCCTGGGTGACTCTGCCCGGCACCGGGCGCTGCTCCCCGCTACGGGAGCACCGGCCTCCGCCAGGGCGCCG